CAGTTAATCCCAAGAAGCTTTTGCTTACTTTAAAAGACGCAGCGGGACAAAACTGTCTTTGCCAGCATTATTGCGAGCAGACGGGACCCATGCTCAAACTTTGACAAGGCTTGTATACTTAGTGATCAGTATACTATGGTCTTTGCTCGGGCGATCTCTTTACCATAGGAGGCAGTCATCTGTCTGATTTTTAAGGGCGCTGAGAGCGCTCTGCTCGCGAATTACCGGCCTGTCAGTTTGACAAGCGTAGTAGTTAAGTTGTTTGAAAAGCTGATAAGGGATTCAGTGGAGAACCAGCTGAATAGATTTAACCTTCTCACTGTTGCGCAACGTGGATTCCGCAAGGGATTTTCGTGTCAGACTAATATACTTGTAGCTCTTGAAAGCTGGGCTGAAGCGGTGGACAGTGGCCACGCTGTAGATGTGCTATTCGTGGACTTTACGAAAGCTTTTGACACTGTTCCTCATCTTCGACTCTCATTAATGCTAGAATCTTGCGGTATATCTCTTCACGCCCTTCAGTGGGTGTCTGCTTTCCTTTGGGAGAGGGAACAATACGTACGGGTGGGGCGTAGCCTTTCTCTCAGGCAAGCTGTCCTTAGTGGCGTTCCGTAGGGCTCGGTATTGGGGCCATTGTTGTTCGCGATCTATGTAAATGGTTTGCCGGGGGTGCTAGGAGTGTCATCACTAATGTTTACTGACTACTTTGAGCTTTGGGATATTGTGGATATCCCGGGGCGTCCTGAGGCAATTCAGGGCGCCTTGGATAGGCTCTGGAAATGGTCTACCTTATGCTGGATGCCCATAACTAAGGCCAAGTGCTCTGTTCTCCGAATCGGAGCTGCTAATCCTTCAACCTGATATATTATCGGCGGTTGTGAAATCCATGTTGTCACAGCAGTTTGATTTAGAGGTCGTACACTCATCAGCACTTCATTCTGGCGACAGTTGGAAGAAGGCTGCTTGTCGGGAGTTTCGTATGATCTGGTTTATCCGTCACCCTTTCGGAGTCCTAACGACCAATTTGTTTGTGAAGCTATTCTCGGCATTCGTCCGACCCCACCTGTAATATTGTATCCAGGCTTGTCCACCATGTCTTATCCGAGACAAAATGGATTTGGAGAGTGTTACGAGTGGGCACTGGGTTAGTGTAGGGTTTACAGGGACAGACGTACCCTGAACGCTTGCTTAGTTTGGGAATGTACTCAATGCACTACCGAAGAATAAGAGGGGATCTGATTCTCACTTATTGTATTTTGACGGGTAAGATCGGCCCGGACTTGTCAGGACTATTTAGTCCCGTTACGTTACCTAATCGCCGCGGTCACCCACTGAAACTGCATAAACCACGGTCTGATAGGATTAGGATGGAAATTCGTCTATCGCGCCGAGTTATAGATCGTTGGAATTCGCTTCCAGATCATGTGGTTAGAGAACCTACGGTTAAGGGTTTTGCGCGCCAGCTCGATGCTCTTGGATGGCAACACTAAACCTTTCCTTTTTCCCAACCGACCAACCTTCACTTTTTCCCAACCGACTAACCTTCACTTCTCAGTTCTTTTTTAATGACTCAAATAGCCTGGTATTCTACTTGCTTAGTTCTTTCCTCTTTCTCTGCTTGCCTTCTGAGTTTAATTTTTTCTCTTTCTTACTTCACGTAACCGGCCCAGCAGGGACTGCTAGAGTAGGATACGTGGGCATTAATTGGTTGTGCAGGGTATGTCGCGGTCTTTGATTTAGGTCCATCAGTATTTCGAAGTCTGTCAACTCCTGGTTCAACGACTTGCTGAAGAAGGGACACTCACGGGATAATCCTTTCGTTCCAGTCTTACTTAAGCTTGTCATGTTATTAACTTTACTATGTCATGGTTGTATGTGGGCTGAGATACTGCCAGGGCGCCCAGACCTAGACAGGAGGACGATTAGGGTCCTCATCCAAAGCCTTTGGCTCAAAAGCCTGTCCGCAAGGCAGCGCGGAGGCGGCAATGCTTTAGTTTTACAGAAATGGACGCTATCCCATTTCAAACCCCCATCCTCGGGGACCAGGAGACTGAGTTTGTCTGACCTCTCACCACTGACCAACCTGGTAGGAGTAGCTCTCAAGATGCCCAGAGGCACCACCCAGTATAGCTCAATGGGTCAATGAGGTACGCAAACCGTCGCACCACGGAAACCATGACAACCATGACATTTTCCTCAAATATAAACTTCATCCTGCATCGGCCGTCACGCAGATTATCAAGGGTCGCCTTATCTGCTGCATACAGCAGGGCGGATAAGCGAAAACATGCTACTGCTGGCGCCTCCCTTCTTTCTTTTCCACCTGTTTCTCTTACACCCATCCCGACCCCCATTACTAACCTTCCTTCTATAATTCCCAGCTTAATTGACAGCAACCGAAGTGCCACTGGAGTAGAACCATCTGCAGCCATCATCCCACCGCACTTATCGGACGCCTATCGGCAAAAGTCCCTTATAAGGCCACGCTATCCCGTTTCCATGGCGACGTTCAACGTTCCCACTCTAAGACAAACAGGTCAACAGGCTGCACTCGCACGCACCTTGGACACACTGGGTGTAGATGTCTGTTGTGTGTCCGAAACTAGGATCAATGACCCTAACGGGGTTAATGAATTAACTGCACCCGGATTATTCTCTCGTTATTCGTTGCACGCATCCGGAGACGCCGATGCAGCACTCACTGATGTTTCGCTGCCATGCAACCATGATGGCCTATGAAATAAAGAATAAGAGGGAGAGAAGAGGGACTTACCTGAAAACTTTAATGCCCTAAACAAATACGGTCAAGTCGCCTACACCTTGTGTAGACAACATACCGTCACAAACAGCTGGCTATCGTGCAAAGATAAGGCGGCATTTGCTAGACAGCTTACTTGCGACTTTCATTGCCCTCGTCATAATCAACCAATTCCCCGCAGATAACTCAGCACTAAACTTTAAACAGGCAATCGCACTAGGAGACGGCAGCAGACGCGCCACTGGTGTCAGTTGCGAGCCATATCCTGTAAAGTCACGAGCCATGCACAAGGCGAGTCACGTGGACTCCAGCGCGGAAGGCGAGATGGACCAACGGCACCCAGTTTGGTCGTCAGTGACTTCCTTCCCCACTGACAAGTCAACTTCTGTCCACCTCGAGCGAGCGAATAGAGCGCGCCGTGATTAACGCACGAACGGTATGTGTAGGACGTGACCTAGCCACCTCATTTGGCACAGCGATATCAGCTTATCGAGAGGTAGGCACATATTACTATGGACGCGACGTCTAACATGTACTTTTCTAACTTGGTGTTTTCACCATACACGAGGTATCTTGCGCCGACAACCGTTGTCAAATGTCGAAATCCGACGCAAATCATTTGCACGGATCGGTCAGGACTTGCTTCCATACAACTTAACCGCGCAAGCACACGCATTGTAGACCCTACCCTACGCCTTCGCCAGTCGTTAAGGGAATTTTCCTCACTAAATAACAAACCAACTATGGTAAGATGGCTGTGTATGTGGTCGACTTATCTGATTTCTCACTGAATCGACCGACCAGCACTTAGTCTCGTTTGGATAAACTTGCTTATGTACCCTAGATTCCCGCAGTATGGACGCCGATGGTGATTAAGTTAGTACAAGCGGTAATTTCTACGTGCTTTTGAGGGATAGTGAAATGACATAGGGTGCCTCTTCTCAGTCAAATGAGGTGATCAATCAATGGCAAGTTTTCTAGCCGCTAATCGGTTGTTGAGGTTTCACCGAAGTTGCGAATCGTTTTCGCGTTATGTTTTATGTTTGTTAATGATTAATGTTATCAAGACTGGTGGTTGAGTTTTACTCAACAACCGGTTGCTTAAAGATAGCAAGTGCGACACCTGAGCTTCTTGTTGATGATACAGCTCAATTTGGAATCTTTTACTGCCTGAAGTACTTATTCACGTTCCAAAATCTTTGTTTTCCCATTCGGTGACTTTTGAACACTGCGAACGCCTACTGTACAGCGAAAGCTATTCATCCAAAATATGGATAACAATCCCTGTGCTCTCATCAGAATTGCAGGCCACATAAGGTTGGCTTGCTTTTGCGAACTCAAGCACTCGGGCAATGGTTTAAAGGATCATACGACCCCATTGTACTCCGGAGGTCGCGGGTTCGAATCCGCGTAGGTACAGACCATCTCGCGGTATACTGGGCCCATGCGCGCCTAGTGGTGGTCGCATAGGGGCGTAGCTTCGGTATAATGCGTCGGTGTACTGTTAATGTCTAAAGTTTTCACACCATTCGTTCTTACGGTACACAACACGTAGCATGTCACCTCGCCGTGTAGGTCAGGAGCTGAACTTCATGCTGGCCGAAGATGAGGACGCATATTTATTCATAACGCTTAGTGCTCACATATGAGAGACTTGGCTTGAAAGCGAGGCGCTCCTCCTCGCTTTGTTGCAGACAGACGTTAAGCGACATAGTCGACTAGCTTCGCCTTTCTCCGATGCGTCAATGCTAGTCATTGGACCTGATTAATCGTGAGCAGCTCCAGTCACTGTGACCATCCCTGTAGCTATGCAACACAATAAGGCGAAACTTTATTTGCGAACATATCTATCTCGCATAACATAAAGGACGGAAGTTGGGACTTCTTCATACCTTGTCTACCGTTCGATTATCAAAGTGGATCCAATGAACGATATGCTAAACGTATGCGGACAAGTCTGTTTCCTACTATTTTCTTCGCATTTACTTCGTCTGACTTCTGTACCAACAATTTTGATAGTGGCGACAAACTGTGAATATTCACTCTTCACGGGTCCATAAAGCACATTCTTGAATTGAATTAAATTACCTTGAAAGCTGCGCAGGATATAACGTTTTGGCTTTCCGACTCGTTTTGTTTTGTATGCGCACCAGAATCACGTCCTCGCTTATTCCGCCACTATCTTTTCGCTAAATAGTTTTTCTCTCTCACTCATAGGTGGTCTGTCTGTCATTTGTGACTAATGAATTGCCTCAAGGCACCATCTGTGGTTATTTGCCGTCTCCGTCGACCGATTGATGAACTCCGTGTCTTAAGTAAGAAGGTCTGTTATGCTACACTTACCAGGATTCACGACCCATTAGTACTCAATAAATGTACGCTGGTGGCCTACTCTGCAAAATCCGTGGGAGGAAAAGGCGAACAGCCAAGCATCCGAACTAAATGTTCCAAAAATATCTTACGAATCATCAAAAGAAGACTTCAAATGGGTTAAAAAGGTCATCTCTGATGGAGCCATCCCACTGCCGCGGGTAGACCTACAGGTCCCTACTCCAAGTGGCTGGATTCCCCCTAACCGTAAGTGGCAGTGACCCAAGTCCCGGTTTCTTTCTCTTAGAATGCGCATCACGCAGTAACGTAGTGTTTTCTCTCTGTGGTCTGGTTCACTTTAGTAGATCACCTACTCCCGTATGTCGTGGTGGCGTGTTATCATTTAGTTGGCTTTGAGTTATGACACCACTTTTCATTTGTCTCTGTCGCAGCCGAAGTTTCCAAAAGTTATCCCTACTCCGTGAGAAGGTCAAGGAACCACATGCTCCCAATCTATTTTGAAGAGAAACATCGAAAGGTCGCTGAGCGCTCCCATGGCACAAGGTCACTAACTGTGATTAAAAATGTTGACGGTGATATGTGGGTGGGTTTATCATTGGTTTGGTGACGAACAACGAATCTGTTTGTAGATGTCGTTGCATGTATGCAATTTGTTGCTTTAGTGTTATGTTGATCATTTTATCTTAATTTAACGATCTTTCTTCGAGCAGCGATACGGTAACCGTGGGATCACTTTTTTGCATGCGGCTCAGGTGGATTAATATGGGTCTTACTGGCACCCAGTTATCGCATTTCTAAGTGAACCTTTTTACCCATTCGATGGAGGTGAACTAGCTGCTTGAGTTCAATTCCTTTATTCCATATTTTCACTGAGATCGCAAATTAGTCCACATAGATAAAATTTTAATTAACAGGGCGCACCAATAATTTTTGTTGCTCATTGCCTCTACACAACCGCAGCTGGTTGTACGCAGGCTGCGATGCAGTCTGGGCGCCAAGACTCGGGGCGCGGAGATCACAGATTACCCGCCTGACTCACCACATCATCTATTCAACTAGCAGTGTAGTAGATTTCTAGAGCAAACACCTCTAGCGCTCCACCAGCATCCCCAGTTACTGATTCACTGAAGCCGCTGACCTCATCCTACACTTGTGCCTTGTTATATTACTCACCGTATACTTGAATCGGCAGTCATTTGCTGTTTTTTTCACTGAAATCGCTGGAGGCGACGGTCTGATGGACAGTAGATAGATACGCAGCGTAAATAATAATAATATATATATTTCTCGATTGGGCAAGCTGTTCTTCGATTGGGAGTAAATCATGAGTACGATAATGATTATACTCATGCGTGAGTGAGGTATGTACTCTGGGACGCGTGACATCAAAACATTTTGAATCACATAACTTTTGTTGTTGCTGAGTTTTGTATACCATATTTTCTCATTGGTTATATATTCCTTGGTTCATCTTGGAATAACTCGTTTAGTGATTTACCCGATGGAAACATGGTCAGTATCGAGTTCTGATCTAAGAACTTAGTATGCTGAATGCGGAATATTCTTGCATTTGTTCCTTTCCAACACGCATTTGGCGCCATGTTAGGCAACCGACTATGTACGTTATTAGTTTTGCTGTTAACCCTCCCACGCCGGTTTCTTGAACTGTCCGGCATTTTCTTCCTTGTTTGTCTCTTTTCTCCTTCATTTTACCTGTTGTCACTGTTTGGTTTAACTTTTATGTAATGAATATGTATCCAGTGAACACTGTCGTTTTTCGAGCTCCATTTTTTTCCTCATTGGCTCTTGTCAAGAAGCTTGCTTCAGTCCTTTTAGCTTTCCACGGTATATTCAAAATCATTCTCAAAAACTACCTTTGGGTTACCTCTAACAGTGTTACTACATCTTTACAATTTTATACTGTAGCCACCAACTGATGTCCCAAGTCTGCTTACCACGACTTACAATCTCACTGTCAAGCAAGAACAAATTTATTGATACCACGCATTCATATCATTTGTGTGCTTCCCTTTATCGAATGATGTTAGTTAATATCCATGATATAACTTTCTAGGAAAAGATAAAACGATAGCAATAGTATAGTATATTACAAATTCAGCGTTTACTATGACGAGTTTCGGAAATTAGCTCCTTGACCAAGGAGTGTTGGTGGTACTTCGTGGAATATCTGTCATTTCGATTTATCGCATCACCTCAAAACCCCACTCAACCTATGTGTTTTATTCGCCAAAACACTTTCAATTAAAAGTACGCGACCAAGTAAATACAAAAATCTTTGGAAAGTAAGACCGTGGTTTTTCAGAAAGTTGGAAGATCGTCTGGAAAACAGGCTAACTTTAAAGACAATGGTTTTTGACAGGGCCATAAAGGTAAATGGACTTATGGTATCTTAGAAAATCAGCAAGTTGATTGTCGGAAGTCGCAGTCCATATAATCTTGAAGAAAATATTCTCCTGCCGTAGGTAACAATAATATGGTCTGACCTGATGAATATATATCCACATAAAGTTCAACCCATTTCGCTTAGCAATTCAACTGTACCTAGGTGAATAGGTGAGATGGCTCAGGACATATAAAGTACCTTAGTTGCAAAGTCTCGTTACAGTTAGCCGAAACTATTTTACCTTTCAAGTACCCTCTTCACGTGACATATGCCCCATTCTTCAGTAATAATGAATTAGTGGAAGAGATACTGTTTTCCCGGAGAATTAAAACACATTCAAAAGGCCAGTCTGTTTTTGAGGTAGTCAATAGTTATCTGACTAAAAAATCCATTCCATCAGAGAACATAGTCGTATGTGCAACAGATGGTCCGAAGATACAAAGGATTTATTACTCATCTATAAAGTATTGTCTCTTCTGCCCATACAATTCGCTGTGTGATTCGTCGAGAGCACCTAATGTCGAAGAACTTGGGAAGGCGTTTAATCGGTTCACCGCCAACTATCCTAATAGTAAACAATATCAAATCACACCCTCTTCACGATCCTTTTTTCCACCGATTGTGTGAGGAGAAAATTGAAGGGTTCCAGATGCTACTTTTAGATACTTGGAAAGCGCTACCAAGCGAAGGTAAACAAGCGACGGAGGTACTCTAGCCATCGTGTCACGTTAAAATCTAGTCTCGTCACCATGACCACGATAACACCAAAACGATAATTTGGAAAATAAAGTAGAAATAAAACAGAAGACAAAAGAGGGTAGGAAAATGCGCAAAATAATTAGGGGAGAATATTTACGGCCTTATATAATAAAGCGAATGTAGGATTGTCCTTGACTGTGAAATAGCGTCATGTTTATTGATCTTTAAACAATGATACGGTCATCTTGAGGTCAACATCCACGAAGCCAACATATAAAACCATGACTGAGTCTCTAAGTTAGTTCTCTTATGTTTTTGTCTCAAACCATCGTCTGGTTAGCTCGCGGTTTTGTCCAACTCGGTGTATTGACAGCATATAATTCACGCCGAGGAAGGTTGTGCACGGGTATACAGATTAAATGATTTTGCCAGCGTGAGTGATTCAACTTTAACATGCAATTCAGTGGGGCACTAAAGGGTTTCTGTACAAATTTCAACTGGTGAGTCACAGTGCTGCTCACGCAGTGCTTCCAGCCGGTCTGAGCAATGCTGCACAAGCATGGGTGATCGAAGACAAGCAATTTCTCAATATCTGCGGTGGGAAATGTGCGGATCTCCGATCCTTACAGCAACATTGACCTAATCACAGCGCTGTACGCCCTACTTATGACTGGAAGGATGAAATCCCACCACCTTTCTAGATGATGAGTCATCCAAAATCCCGTATTGACTATGCTGATACTTGAAGGACCTACCCAAAGATAGGCGTTGGGAGATGATACAACTACCAAGCTAAGTGAACCGATCAACCACTTCCAGCGTTTCACCACTAGTCACTGCTTGCATATCCTTGGGGAACTGGCAGTATGTTGGAGATCGGTGTAGCCAAAACTGGTACAACCCAAATCAGTAGATGACTGATGGTACCTGTGGACTTACGCAGACAGGATGACAAGAACTCTCTGAAAACTGTTGCCATACATACGCACCCAGTGAGGCGCTTTGAGAGGCAATAATTCTTAGTTGGCAAAGGGTATACGGTAAGGGGGGATATTGACTACATAAAACGGAAAAAATAATAAACTACCCAAGACGTGGACTGTACCGCCAAAAGTCAAACATAGCAATCGAAAGCGACCCGGGCTTAAACTGTGCATGCATTTCCAAAGGGTTTGTCTTGACTGTCCAGCTATGTGAAGATGAGATATAGCACGACCTATCTTCCACTGCCACGCAGGTTACCACCGTTGCAGATGACAGTGGTTAGCCTCCAGGTCGACATTAAAAAATCCTCCTACTCATACGTAATATCAAATGTAGCCTCTCCTAGTTTCAAATGCTATCGATATAGCGTCTAGTGAACAATGAGTTTATACGGGTTAAGAAGCGCTGTCTTACAAGTCCCGTTGGATAGTTGGTAGGGATATCGAACTAATACTAATACCGATAATAATGGTAACAATTACCAATTTAAATAAGGACTTATCGTTTGCTGCGCTGTGGTCCTGCGATCCTCTTCGATTCACAGCACCCACAGTTAACATTGAATAAATCCATGGGAGTAGGATGGAGACGTAGCGCTAAGGGAGAAAGTATAAGCGGACGAGTGCGTCATCCAACTGTCTTTTGAATGCGGTTAGTGTCGGAGCGGAGACGAACGATTCTAAGAGAGCATTCCACGAGTGACATACACGAGTTGAAAAGATTGCTGCCTGAAGCAACTCAAGTCATCTTGAACCAGCACAGCCAAGTCACGTTCGAGAGTTGTTTGTTGCAATACATTCATCCCGAACAGGTATGAGTAGTAGCTGCTCTGACGTCAGATGGAAAGTACAATACATTTACTTACGTTGAAATGCAGTAAATTTTGAATTGACCATTGGTATACCGTGTCTAGGTCAATCTGAAGCAGATGCCGCTCGGTATTCACCTTAATCCTGCGCCAAATCTTGATATCATCGGCAAACATTAGGAAGTTTAAAGTGATTCCCTGGTTAAGGTCACTAATAAACACCAAAAGCAGACGTTGACTTAGTAGTGAACCTTGCGGCACACTACACTCGAATCACTAATTGCCGTTGAAGAGTAAGTCGGAAATACAGCTTGGAAGAGGATCATCGACTCCGCAACGCTGGAAATGAAAAATGAAATGTGTCAGCTTATACGCCGTAACGGCGCTTCGCTGCCGCGCGACCACCACCAGTCGCGCGCGGGCTAAGTATACTGCGAGGACGCCCACCCCTACGCTGGAACTTAAAAGTAATATCCGATTGTCTAGACTAGCCATTCTCAACAGGAGCCATATGGCCCCCTGGAAGCCATAGAGTTTTCCCCAGGGGCCTTTGGATGAGAAACATTTTAGGGGGGCCATGGGGCGCCATGGCGTGAGAAGTGGGTTAGGATAACACAAATAACAAAATTCATCTCAAATATTTTTCTGGTAGTTTCTCTGAGCGCACTAATTTCCCCTGCTCAGTGAA